TTGAGCGCAAAATCAAAATGCAATATTCGCTGTCGCACGAGAAAGACCTCACAAAATTTCTAGAACTTTGTGAAGGTAAGAGCTTAGATGAGCTACCCGAAGCTATAACGGCCGCACGTGATAGATATCAACCGGAAGAGGGTAGCGCTGCCAGAACACCTACGCCAAAGCACAGCAGATCCCCGTACACCTCACCATCGCGTACAAAAGAGAAGACACCGCACACGTCCCCGGCGCGCACACCACGCGAGTCTCGCAGTCCCAAAAGGCATACCTCACCTGGACGTGTTCGATATGATGATGGCCAAGTAACATCTAAGAGCCCAAAAAGACATGGCACGCCTGGACACGTTCGATATGAGGATCCAAATATACCAACGACTGAAGATCTGGAGTACCGTTTTCGCGCATTGGAACTTCCAAGATCTAAGTCGAAGGAATCGTTGACCGGCAAATCAAAAAAGAATAACGTCGATTCGAAAAAGTCACTAATACATCCACTAGAAATGCTACTCGACCCCAGCTCCGATGAGGATGCTATACCCACAACTGGCGAACTGGAGCATAGAATAAGAGTGTTGGATGATAAAAGGAAGACACCTTCGCCTTCGCGACAATCACGCTCCCGTTCGCCGACAATTGAAGACATAAAGAATAGGAAATTAGCAGAAGAACAGCGGCCAAAAGCGCCCATACACAGTTTAGAAACGCTTGTCGCGTCGCCAACCAAAAAAGAGTTACCCACAGCTGAAGAGTTGGAGGCACGTATGCGCGCTTTGGAAGAGGAACATTGCTTCGACTTCAAAATGCAGAAAACTTATCAGGAGTTCAATCAAAAGCTAAAGGATGCCGTATCTCCATCGCTTTCTTTCGAAGAGTTTAAAACTTCCAAATCGCGTGAGGAAAGCCCCAGACGCAGCGAGACAAACCGTTCGATCACACCAAAATCTGCCTTGCGCGACTCTGCCAGCAACTATGACGACGGGCAATACAGATCAACCAGTCCTAAGGCCATACGCTTCCGTGACGAAGAAGACGATTATGTTACGAGCATGCCGTTAAAACCAAAATCACGCTCGGATACACGGGATAACATTGGACGCACGGTGGGCACTCTTGGTGCTTTAGGAATAATTGAAGAAAATTCTAAATACCTTCAACGTATTCTTAAGCAGACTCTTACAGATTCGTGTAGCAGTATAAATGCGGCGCTTACGTCCGAGGGACTTGACGAGTTGGGCAGTCGACTGATGAGGGTGTGTTATAGTTGGACNAACTCATTCTCTTTTTAGGAGACTTCACCACTACAGCGTACTGGCAGCCATACTGGCGTACCGCTGCGTACCAATGACAACATTAACGAACGCTTGGATTCCATTAAAAATACAATCAAGTCCATCGACACGCTCTGCGAGGAGAAACCGTATCGAAAAGAACGCTGCCAGCGCTACATTGATTCACTATTTTCCGACTCAATACATTTTGCCAGCAAGAAGACCTCGCTAGAGGATCTCTCGCGCTCAGATAGTCGTGCACATCGTGAACTTGGCCCCTCCATACGCATCTCAGATCATAGCCAACGACACGCAGACTATTTATACGGTCGTTCTTTGGGTTCGGCAGAATCTATACGTTCGACAAGTCCATTGCGCGCTGCCAGTCCATTGCATCATCGTTCAAATCGGGACTTACGTCGTGAAATCTCACCACGCCGGCGGCACGAAGAAGAGCGTGAAGAATACCAGAGTAGGGTAAGACGAGAAAATATGTTGCCAAATTATTCTTTAT